GAGAGACATCCTCTCATGTGGCCTGTGAATGGAAAAAATAGGCTTAGAACCTGAGGAAATGCTATAGCCACGCCCTCTTTGTCAACCTCCTCCCACTAAGGTACTAAGTCATCTCTGCCCTCAGGATGGGACTCCCACAAATCGGGATTTTGAGGAGATTTGCACATTTTCTGCTTCCACCCTGTAGGCCCGCAGAAAGGCCCTGGAATGACAAAAACATGGTCAAATGAAAATTTGGATGGATGCTGCTTTTAATTAGAATTTTCGGAGCATTGCCGAGCATTTTCCAATGTCTTCATATGAATCTCTCGTTATGTTCTAGCGGCTATTTACCTAATGTTTCTCCGAAAAAGGGACTAAATTCTACACATAATCTTTTGTCACTAAGTTGTACACAAAAGAAAGCAGACAATACCTTCTTTTTTTGTTGCTTTTATCCAAAAGGATCCGTGTCCAATGAAAATTTCAAGAAGTTTCTTTTCTCCTCCCAGTCGAGGTTGGCAGACCACATAGTTTACTTTCGTCTCCATTCAAAGTTTGGAGAACTTTCTGAATTTTTACTCGTGTCACATTTGTCACATTTATGACATGGACATACCATGACATACACAGCATGGCAGTGACTTTTTGGACAGCCTTGAGACTTTTCCGGAAAATTCTGGATGGATGCTTTGCACATGCCCTTATGGAATTCCAAACCGTGGGAAAAAAAATCGCTTTCTGACGTGATTCAGCCGGCTCTGCAGGAATGATATTGCAACGAAAAAAATGGCGAGAGTCAACATGGTTCCTTTCAAACGATCAATCATTTTTCATTTGATACAGACACCTCTTCAAAATTTTCTCAATGTCTCAATTTTCATAAATCCACATAAAATCAAATGAGAGGACATGGAGATTTTTGAAAACTGAGCCTATCTCCTAGGATCCCGCTGATTATTTGGTCCCAATAAAATTTTGAAGTGGAGCTGTCTTCTCGTTCCAGCGAAGATGACACGCACATTCGACGCGAGAATGTTAGATGAGCTTGCTTCGACTCGCTTGACAACTGATTTCCGCTAATTCCCCGCTGAAAACAAATGCGTTCTGGAGCGACATTTTTGGGGTGGGCGTTTTTTGAGTCACACAATGGGTACTGGCGCTCTAGTCGTACACTTCAGCGATGATCAAAGGTCTAACATCGAAGGTGAGTGTGCTTAGCGCGTGGTTTGAATTCGTGGTAGAGCAAAAATATGTCATAATTTCAATTTGGATGATTTTTCTCGCATTTTTCCTTTGGTTTTTTTCTTAACCCTTTCGGTACACCGTTGGAGAGTGTAATATCTCTTTGATAAAAAGAAAATTGGTTCTAATAGTTTACAAACCAGATGCAAGCCGACTTCATCCAACATATAAACTTTTTAAAAATTCTCTGCCTTTTTAATAATACTAAATCATATGAGATTAACTCCGAAAATTCTTTACAATATTTTGAATTTTTTGGTCGCGAAGAAAGAGAACTTCTTTAAAGTGGTCATATCTTGGTAAGATCGCATATCATTTTTTTGATTAAAACAGCGAATATTTTCTTAGTCACTTATTTTTCTATTTCATCTATTTTTGCAGTTTTATTTGCTGAAATGTACAGAAAAATCAACGAATAGTCAACAAAGTATCAAATTATTAGCTGCTATACCAACAAAATCAAGAATCAGGTAAGATATACCGTAATTTTCCGTTTCACATCGGTCTGAAAATGCCTCTGCTTTTTCTACTGTGATGAATGTGTTTTCAAGATACCACAAGCTATTTTGTACGCTTTACAGCAAATGCGGCTGTTCCCCATTTCCTTGCTTATTTTCGAAAATTTGTATGTAATAAAATAAGTCTGTTTCTATTATGTGTGTATATGTAGGTATGTTCCGGATAGAGATTTTTTCTGAACCAATCCGGACCAAACTTGGCACACGTGTACCTCGGGGCGAAGCGGGTGCTGTATGCTGCTCTTCGTCAGTGATCGATATATCGATTTTTTGCAAGATTTCACAATAGACTGGGAGTTGGCAGAGGGGGGTGGGGTAAGTGAGCATGCTAATAACGAAAATATCATTGACAGGGGCTGGTGGGGCCGGGATTCCTATCTAGTTTCATATAATCTTATGTTATCCTGACCGGAGTGGCCCGCTCAACTGCAGAGCAAAGTTCAATCATTTTTACAATAAAAGTAGCAATGCTGGTTGCCTTGCGAGAACTGGTCACCGCGGGGCTAGCAGCTACAGCTGTACTTGTTATTTTTGTACTCCTCAGAAGCCTAATATTGGTAAATTACATAAAAATAACCCAAAGACACTTGAGAAAGTTTTTCAACTACAGTGGATAATGAGAAAGGTTCAAAATGCAATAGGAACTCTATTGTTGGACTCAGATTTCCAGTTTCTCTTCACCGGCCGGAAACCGCTTGGTATGGGCAAATTTCCCCTTTTTTGACGGATTCTACCGGGATATCATATTGACCAAATGAACGCTTCAGCTCTCATTATGCAAATAACCTTAAGAACTCTCGATTCTCTGTCCATGCTGAATGTCTAATGAAGTCATGAGATGCTTCAGAAACTTTCTATGAGTCTGGGTTTTGCTTGATCGCTCCATGTGCTGCAGAACAGCGTCATTATTCATCTCACGCAATACATTTTACGTGTAAAAAGAAAGACGAACTCATTTTGGCTCCGGCCCAGTAGGCAGGCCCTGAGCAGTGTGCCACTATGTCAGTGTGGCATAAGACCTGCATCAATGGCATACGACGTAAGTATTCTGCACATTTTAGAGATCTCATGCAGCATTTTTGCTTCCATATTCTGGGTTTCACTCTAGGGGAAGTTTTTGGGGAAATTAGGGGAAATTTTGAGGGAAATTTTTTGTAAGAAGGAGCAGAAATAATTTCGAATGAAAAATCTTTTAAAAGAAAGTTCTGCATGCCAGCCACGCTCCTGAAAAAAGATTTTTTAGACTTGATTGAACTTTTATACATCGGGTTGGAATTAAACAATTTGTGCAAAGCAGAATTTTTTTTTGGCATTTTTTCAAATAATCATAGCCTTTTATAGATACGCTCCGTTAACACAAATTTTGCTCATTTGAAGAGATCTAAGTTAAAAGCCTAAAAGCTAATCAAACCTGTAATATTGATTGCACAGTTTTTTATTCCAAGTTTCAGAGTTTTACGTTCAAACATAGGGCATATTTTGAAAATCTATTTTGAGTATTCTTTTTTCGCTATATATATAATGTAGCTCAATAAGAAGCCGTGAAATGAAAAGCATATTTTACTCTTTCAAACAAAAGCAATAGAAAGAATTACTTGGAAAGCTATGAATGTTTGAATATGATGCGTCAGAACTTTCGTGCAATGTAATATTGAGAACATTTTGTTTTTATTTTCATGTGAGAATAAATGATTTGTGCATTAAAAATCATGTAGACTGCTTCATAATCATCACTCTTGTAAGAAGGGGGGGGGGGTGTGCTATAGAGCAACTTACCAAATGTGAAGACGGTTAAGGTTTAATTCAAATAACTAGCTGTACTCAGCTGTTTTCGATATTGAGTATTTGGTTCCATTGTCATGTTTAAATTTAGATAAGTTACTCTGAAAGGGATTTACAGCTACTTGTACTACAAGTTTAGCGTACAGTGTAGCTTGCCGCGAAATACGATCCCACTGCGGTGCTAACAATATTCGCGAGGTGAAACTTGACCGTAGGGCTCTGAACTTGGTGTACGCCTCGGGCCATTTCGTACAAGTGTTTTTGGCACCGTAATATCTCGCTGTTTGGTAACTTGAACAAATTACTGCATCATATCTTGCCAAAACGAAATCATTATACTACCAAGCCTTTTCCACTCCTACGCTTTGAACTCTTGGATTCTGATATTTGATGTCAATAACAAGTCACAAAATGACTCCAACTCGAGAATATTATCCTCAGAAGATGTCTCTCTATCCTCACTGTCTCATCCACATTTATCATCCAGCTCGAATTGCTTTGTTATGGTGGTTAGTCAAGTTCCTACGCGTTGCAGCAACTTTAGTCAAACTTTGTAAATATCACAAAGCTGAAGAAAAGTTATCGAGAATTCAGTGTTATTTGCAAAAATCTTAGTAATACGCTGCCAAGGGAAGAGAACATCCGATGTGAGCTTCGCAGGGTTACTAAAAATGGGCTATTGTCAGTCTTTGACGGAACGATGAAATTAAATTGGATAGGATATAAAATTTAAAAAAAAAATTCTAAATTATAGTTTTATCGAAAAAATTAAGATTTTACCGATGCCGTTTTCTTTTAAAGTTTATCACTCTTTCTTTTCTCAAATGTTATACCTTCACAAACTTTTCGTTGGGAAATGAATCCATACGTTTCGTGATCTGTTTACGGTAACTGCACTAACCCGGATCTAAATGATCAGTCTTGAACTCAAAAATTGCTTGCTTTGTAGCTGTTGTCGGGAGAACATTAGTCCTTGTGTCCATAGAGTTACATATCAAATGAATTCCGAAACTGCATGTCACGCAATCTATCTAAATGGTTTTGCACTATCAAAAATTTTATAAGAAACAGGAAGGCGTTCAATGACATTCATGTATCATGTGATTCCAGTTGTAGAGCATTTCCCTCATGAATTGAAGATGTGGCTTGAAAAATTAACGATAATGGCCTCACATATCAAACATGCAACCGCAGTGATGCGGAAGTAGAGAAGGGGTAGCGACCTATTAATGTAAAAACTTCAAGTGATTATCTTATTCGAGAAATATATCGAAAAACATCTTCTCAGTTCCTTGCTTTGAACCTTCAAAGTGATTTTGAGAAAAGTGTAGTTTTTTGGTTCTGCACGTGTTCTTGGTGAACTTATAAACAGGCTTCCACACTACCCACCATGTTGATGAAATTTCTAGATAATCATTTGTCAAGAAGTAGTGAAATTGACCTTTGACATAATTTGTCAAGAATTTTTCATTTCAGATTACGAAATGTACAAAATTCAACGAGATGGAAGTAGAGAAAGAGAAAGGGACAAGGAAAAGAGAAATGAAAAGGTAAGTGAAAAGTTGTGTGATTATATGCGAAAATCAGTTCCCATAGAATTCAATGACACTACTTTTGCGATTCATTTGCGATTCAGCTGTACTTTATTCCCGACTGACTTCTTATGCCAAGCATTCGGAGAACCGCTTGAGGACTGTAGATCTAATTTTTCTCATCTTTTACAAGACGCCCATCCATTCCATTTCAAATCTGTAGTAGTCTTCTGCATGTTCAACAGTACTTTTCTGAGCCGCACTTTGGATCCGTGTGGAATGGTGTTGAGCAGCACCAACCTCTCTGCAAAGTTCGGTAATCATCGGCCTTTTGCGTTGAGCAACACCATTCTTTTAGTTTGAATGGTGTGGAATAGTGTCGAGCAACACTAACGTGAGCTGCAAAGTTCCCCTCATCAGCCTTTTGCGTTGAGCAACATCATTCTTTGTTGTGCTCTTCAGCGTTTAGAATGGTGTGGAATGGTGTTGAGCGCCACCAGCTGTGTTACAGAGTTTGTCAACCATCAGCCTCCTTTAGTCGTTGAGCAGCACCATTTTTGCTGCTGCTGTGTTCTTCAACTTCAACACCTACGAATGGCATGGAATGGTGTTGAGCGCCACCAACTTGTGCTGCGGAGTTCGGCAATCGTCAGCCTTCTGTAAATGTTGAGCAGCACCACTTTGGCTGCTGCTGTATTCTTCAACACCTAGGAATGGTGTGGAATAGTATCGAGCAGCACCAACTTGCTGCTGCAGAGTTCGCCAATCATCGGCCTTTTGCATTGAGCAACACCATTCTTTTAGCCTGGAATGGTGTGGAATAGTGTCGGGCAACACTAACGTGCTGCTGCAGAGTTCGCCTCAGCAGCCTTTTGCGTTGAGCAACACCATTCTTTGTTTTGCTCTTCAGCATTAGTTTAGAATGGTGTGGAATGGTGTTGAGCGCCACCAGCTGTGTTACAGAGTTTGTCAACCATCAGCCTCCTTTAGTTGTTGAGCAGCACCATTTTGGCTGCTGCTGTGTTCTTCAACTTCAACACCTACGAATGGCATGGAATGGTGTTGAACGCCACCAACTTGTGCTGCGGAGTTCGGCAATCGTCAGCCTTCTGTAAATGTTGAGCAGCACCACTTTGGCTGCTGCTGTATTCTTCAACACCTAGGAATGGTGTGGAATAGTATCGAGCAGCACCAACTTGCTGCTGCAGAGTTCGCCAATCATCGGCCTTTTGCATTAAGCAACACCATTCTTTTAGTTTGGAATGGTGTGGAATAGTGTCGGGCAACACCAACATGCTGCTGCAGAGTTCGCCTCAGCAGCGTTTTGCGTTGAGCAACACCATTCTTTGTTTTGCCCTTCAGCATTAGTTTAGAATGGTGTGGAATGGTGTTGAGCGCCACCAGCTGTGTTACAGAGTTTGTCAACCATCAGCCTCCTTTAGTTGTTGAGCAGCACCATTTTGGCTGCTGCTGTGTTCTTCAACTTCAACACCTACGAATGGCATGGAATGGTGTTGAACGCCACCAACTTGTGCTGCGGAGTTCGGCAATCGTCAGCCTTCTGTAAATGTTGAGCAGCACCACTTTGGCTGCTGCTGTATTCTTCAACACCTAGGAATGGTGTGGAATAGTATCGAGCAGCACCAACTTGCTGCTGCAGAGTTCGCCAATCATCGGCCTTTTGCATTAAGCAACACCATTCTTTTAGTTTGGAATGGTGTGGAATAGTGTCGGGCAACACCAACGTGCTGCTGCAGAGTTCGCCTCAGCAGCGTTTTGCGTTGAGCAACACCATTCTTTGTTTTGCTCTTCAGCATTAGTTTAGAATGGTGTGGAATGGTGTTGAGCGCCACCAGCTGTGTTACAGAGTTTGTCAACCATCAGCCTCCTTTAGTTGTTGAGCAGCACCATTTTGGCTGCTGCTGTGTTCTTCAACTTCAACACCTACGAATGGCATGGAATGGTGTTGAACGCCACCAACTTGTGCTGCGGAGTTCGGCAATCGTCAGCCTTCTGTAAATGTTGAGCAGCACCACTTTGGCTGCTGCTGTATTCTTCAACACCTAGGAATGGTGTGGAATAGTATCGAGCAGCACCAACTTGCTGCTGCAGAGTTCGCCAATCATCGGCCTTTTGCATTAAGCAACACCATTCTTTTAGTTTGGAATGGTGTGGAATAGTGTCGGGCAACACCAACATGCTGCTGCAGAGTTCGCCTCAGCAGCGTTTTGCGTTGAGCAACACCATTCTTTGTTTTGCCCTTCAGCATTAGTTTAGAATGGTGTGGAATGGTGTTGAGCGCCACCAGCTGTGTTACAGAGTTTGTCAACCATCAGCCTCCTTTAGTTGTTGAGCAGCACCATTTTGGCTGCTGCTGTGTTCTTCAACTTCAACACCTACGAATGGCATGGAATGGTGTTGAACGCCACCAACTTGTGCTGCGGAGTTCGGCAATCGTCAGCCTTCTGTAAATGTTGAGCAGCACCACTTTGGCTGCTGCTGTATTCTTCAACACCTAGGAATGGTGTGGAATAGTATCGAGCAGCACCAACTTGCTGCTGCAGAGTTCGCCAATCATCGGCCTTTTGCATTAAGCAACACCATTCTTTTAGTTTGGAATGGTGTGGAATAGTGTCGGGCAACACCAACGTGCTGCTGCAGAGTTCGCCTCAGCAGCGTTTTGCGTTGAGCAACACCATTCTTTGTTTTGCCCTTCAGCATTAGTTTAGAATGGTGTGGAATGGTGTTGAGCGCCACCAGCTGTGTTACAGAGTTTGTCAACCATCAGCCTCCTTTAGTTGTTGAGCAGCACCATTTTGGCTGCTGCTGTGTTCTTCAACTTCAACACCTACGAATGGCATGGAATGGTGTTGAACGCCACCAACTTGTGCTGCGGAGTTCGGCAATCGTCAGCCTACTGTAAATGTTGAGCAGCACCACTTTGGCTGCTGCTGTGTTCTTCAACTTCAACACCTACGAATGGCATGGAATGGTGTTGAGCGCCACACTTGTGCTGCGGAGTTCGGCAGTCGTCAGCCTTCTGTAAATGTTGAGCAGCACCACTTTGGCTGCTGCTGTGTTCTTCAACACCTAGGAATGGTGTGGAATAGTATCGAGCAGCACCAACTTGCTGCTGCAGAGTTCGCCAATCATCGGCCTTTTGCATTGAGCAACACCATTCTTTTAGTTTGGAATGGTGTGGAATGTCGGGCAACACCAACGTGCTGCTGCAGAGTTCGCCTCATCAGCCTTTTGCGTTGAGCAACACCATTCTTTGTTGTGCTCTTCAGCGTTAGTTTGAATGGTGTGGAGTGGTGTTGATCGCCACCAGCTGTTTACGGAGTTTGGCAACAGTCAGCCTTTTTTAGTTGTTGAGCAGCACCATTTGTTGCTGCTGTGTTCACAACTGAGAAATGGTGTCGATTGGTATTAGCAGCACCATTGCTGCTGCGTTTATCTACGCAATTGAGGAATGGTATGGAATGTTGTTATGCAACACCATTTGCTGTTGCTGTGTTCTTCATCACTTACACAACTCCATCTTGCTGCTGCTGTGTTTGTCTGCACAGAGAAATGGTGTGGAATAGTGTTGTGCAGCAGCCAGTTGCCGTTGTGGAGTTCGACACTTAGCTCCTGGTAGTTGTTTAGCAGCACCACCACTTTGTTGCTGTTGTGGGCTTTAGCACCACTTACGGGGGAAGTATTTTGCATCACCCGAATTGCTCCCATATGAACCATGAACGTGGCTGCCTTTCGATCATTTCAACTTGTCATCTTCGAATAAGCGCCTCAATTTTGCTGGAGTTAACGTGTTAAAACACACGAGAAATTCTGGGGGATGCACGGTATCATTGGTCGAAGTGTGCTTCAAGATGTGTTGTATATTCTCAAAGGGCATCAAATGCTTCCAAATCCGTTTTCCTTATTTGCAGAGCACCTTTGAGTGAGGAGATGTGAGCGTTTCAAGAGCCGAAAAAGTGAACTTGTGAAGAGGCTGAACTTGATTGTAACAGCCTGTACAACTCGCGAAACTACTGGTTTGAGTTTTTAATAGTTTTGAGTGTGGATGTAGCCGACGGAAATTATTTTTTGCACAAAAGTGATCTAACAGAGATCGCTGCCCCACTTGAGTTTACGGGAAAGTTCATTGGAGGATTTTCTTCTTCCTAGCCTTAAATTTTCGCCAAACAGCTTCCGTAACTCCTTGCTCAGATGCGCTTCGCAGATAGGGAGGACAGCTTTGGAATCAGCGTTCGATGCCGTTCAAATTATATACATTCATCTGGAAAGGTCACTTCGACCAAGGATCCTTCCCTGGTTAGGAATGGTGTTGAGCGATACCATTTCGCTGCTGTTGTATTCTACAGAATTGTCAGGAATGGTGTGGAATGGTGTCAAGCAGCACCATTTGCTGTTGCATAGTTTCCCAACCGTTAGTCTTCTGCAGTTATTAAGCAGCACCATTTTGCTGCTGCTGTGCTCTTCAAAACTATTCAGGAATAGTGTAGAATGGTGTTGAGCAGCACTAAATCGTATGGCGAAGTCGTCAAGTCAAGCGTCAGCCTTCAGTCGAAGGCAGCACAAATCTCAATTTCTTCTAATCTTTCAAAACTTTTTGAAAGCTCTTTCCAGGCTTTTTTTTGGAAAAATTTCTCACGAGATTTTTTGGCGTTTGCGGGGATGATGTGGGACTAACAATATGATTTTCGAATTTGATTGATCAATTTTCTCTAATTTCTCTCTCATTCATCCGCCTTCATCTCATTCCAGCAGCTGTTTTTAGAACATTTGTTCATTTTCACGGGTTCACACATGCTTATGAGTAGTCTGAGCCTTTAGAACTTTGTGCGCCTGCGTAAATAAGTGGGAGGAAGTTATCTCACGTTTCACTCATCACAAAACGGCATAACTAAACGCTGTGCTATCTGACCCCTGGCCGCAAATTGCATTTTTTGGTCTACCTCTGCTGATCTACTGGCCCATATAGCCTTGCCAGCCATGAATGTCTTCTTCAGCTATTTTAGCAGCAATCAAGAGACTGGATTCTTGAATATCCGTAATTCATTCCGTAAACATTTACAGAAACGGGAAAAGAATGCGAATATCGATGAAGAGGACGAAAAAGCCAAGGTAATTACAACTTTTCTTTATTCTCTTTTTCTGTTTTTATATAGATTTACCGCATAATTCAGTAAGTTTTCAGGTCACTGTTGTCCCAATAGAAGATGAAGAAGATCGAAGGTTGGGACGTAAAAAACGAACCCAAGAAGATATGGTTGCAGATTTTGTGAAGATTTTGGAACAAATGAGTAAGTTGCGGTTTTCGCATTTGATCCTTTCACTTTTTTATATCTGGTAGGAAACTCACTAAGTCGCATGCGCATGCTTGTAATTTTAAATTGCTTGTATCGACTACAGTTATTTCTAATCTGTCCGCATAGTTCGGTAATTCTGACTGCTAACATGTGTGTTTGCGCTAACCTATGCACAAAAGAAATGTCTGTTGGGCGCGGCATATGAAAATATGTACGGCTTAATTGTTACTTTTGACGCGCAGTGATGCCGCAGATATTTACAAATATAAAAGTCTCGCATCGTTTTCTTTCTAGTTTATCCATTTATTTGATGTAAAATATTCGCGCACTTTTCAAAACATACTCTATTTTTGTAGGCTTCTCGGTTTCAAGTGCTGAATTATGAACTTAGCCGCGAAAAATTTGCTTCAGTTGCTGTTACTACATAACAAACAGCGCTTTCTGTTGTGGAAAAGAAGTAGAGTTTATTACCTAACGTAGTAAGATGACCTTGTTACCGTATGTTTACATTAGCTGAGTAGGCAAATGAGATTTGATTCAAGAAAAGCAAAACATTTTTGCACCTTAAGCAGATTCTACAAATAGTATTGGTGAAACCTGTAGAAAAATTTTCTTTACTGAAATAACTTGCATGGGACGTGAGCTTCCGGACATCATATTAGAAAATTTGGTGATAGGCCTAGCGTGGCTTAGCTAGTGATTCAAATTTAGAATAAAAAATTACTGGCTTTAGAGAAAGTGTTCGTTTTCAGTGAACCCTCGACAAGCAATCACTTCATTCATCTCAGCCGCAACAGGTCTCGCAGCAATCACAATTGGTAGCATCTATATCAATCGACTGCCAGAAACGGCTTTGAAAGCCAAGAAACTCGTTATTATCTTGATTGTATATGGTTAGTCATGGTTCCACCATTGATCAAGATTTTTCGATCAATAAAATCAATCAATAGGGGACGCTTTCAGGTGTACTACAGGTCTTATTAGCCACAGCATTTTTTGTTACGTGTATGCAAACGTCAATCGCTGTTTCGAAGGGAGTGAAGGTAGATTTTGTCATACCATAGTCAACAAATGACTGAATTTTGTGTTTGTTGTGTAACTACACCATTTGCAGCCTCACCTTGAGGATAAATATGTGAAAAATGTTCTGTATCTTTTCTCTAGAAGGATAAATAGTGCAGTCTAGTGAAATTGGTAGTTAGTATTGCCCTACGACGCCAAATTTGATGCAAAGAAAAGAAAAAATAGCCATGGAGCGCATATTTCCAAGTTTTGCGCCCCTTGGACATTAGAGCACAACTGTTGTTGACGCCGCAAATTGAGGGTATATACTAATACATTTAACCGTTAGAATTATTAAATCCATCAGTCATTTCGGCTTAAAAAAGTATGTTATGAAGTAGCAAAAATTCTTCTTTAAGGATGCTTTTCAAATCGTTGTTGGATTGATGGTTGCATTGATTTATGTTGGAATATCACTAATAGCTATGGTTGTTGGAATATACGGTACGTTTTGCACAATTTTTTGCATCATTACTCATTTTCATTCAATAAACTACGTTGCGAGAGGACTAGGAGTTGCTTGTATGGTGGCGCGCTTGTCATTGGTCGGTCTCTGCTGTGATTGGTTCTAGCCCTTGCGCTATATCCTAGCAAATTTTGATAGCGCACGCTAGTCCTTGGAATTTCTTGCTGAAAGGTCTCAATTTGAAAATTTTGAGTTTGTCCAAGTTGCGAATCTGCAATTACAAGTCTAGGAAGTCTTTTTTGAGACATTTGTCTATTTGCATGAAGGATCATTTCAGAAGAAACAACGAGATTACCCGCAGTTTTTACTTACATACAGAAAAACTTGAGATGGTCAAAAGCTCCAGGATGAGGGGAGAAGAGAGCGAGAAAATTTATTGTTACAATTAGTACCTACTCAGCACTTCCAGAGAGAAATTAAATTAATTCAAAATTTCACAGGTTTCTACAAATCTCTCGCACTCCTCAGCTACGTTGAATACGCGGACACGACATCATTAACGTACTGTCCACAGATCGTTTTCTACACTTCACTCGTCGTCTTTGTATTACACATCATTCTCATAATCAGCAAATGTTGCTGTTGTAAATAAATCGTTTCTATCTGTACTTGGGAGGGGTTTTCCAAGAGAACAAACGAGTTTCTTTGTTACAGAGCATGTTTGTGGCGTAATGTCTTCACTCGCAGATCTCACAGTATAGTCATTATGTTTTTTCTTTGATGTGTTCCTTTTGAATTTTTTTTAATCTTACATGACAATAATTCGACTACAATGCGAGAGACCCACAATAACGCTTAGGTCAAGGTCGATGGTCACCTTTTTGTCACCCATGACTTGTCCACGTGATACCGCCCTTTTTCAGATCAGAAAAAAAATTCTGTAATCCGTGACTTCACGTTATGCCCCTCTTTTCAAGGATTTTTAGTTTTTCCGGAAAGTCCTTGTAGCAGATGTACATGGTGCAAATCTATTTTGCCAGCTTGCACTTTTAGGAACAACCTCAGTTTCGCTGATAGTTTGTTCATCAGCCTTTTGGTGAGTTCTCTTCTCAGCATTAGCGGTCACCATAACGACCACAACAATTCTATCGGTTTAATTATTGTCTGGACGCTCTCGTAATCACTTATCATAACTTGCAGAAGATTTGCGAGAGTGCTAATCAACCTAAATCGATTTTTATAGCGAGATAGCAGACTAGAAGAATAGCGATTAGATTATGATGCGACGATTTCATGAATCATGAACCACACTCCTGTGATCGCAAAATATTGCTTTTCTGGGGATTTTCAGCATGATTTTTGAGAATTTTTATGGTTTATATTGCAACAATCTAAATCAGAGGTGCGATAGGGGGAGCCGGGTCCCCCAAAAGTGAAGGTGGTTTCAGCTACCACTGGCCGGCCAAAAGTGAAGGTGGTAGTGTCGGACACTCACCTCCCAAAAACGTCGACGGGGGGGGGGGGGGGAGGTGCGGGGGGAGGATAGAACGGACGAACGGAGCTATCTTTCTAGGTCTAACGTCGACCCAACGGCCCTCTTTAGGGCCACAGATACGATGAATATTAAAAATATCTATAAATTTTATTTATAAAAATTTAAAATAGACGTGTTTAGTAAATGGTGTATTTGGAAGTAGAAATTTGTTGGACTGTACGGATTTTATTAAGCAAATTATGTTATAACGTATAGCGAAGGAAGTAGGTCGATCCAGGCAGTAACGGCCGAGAACCAGAATTTTGAATATTTGAAAAGTGAAAAATCATGCGAAATTTCCACTGTTATAAATCTGTTGTTTGAAGATGTCAGCAGTTGCGACTTCATAGGTTTTGAAGAGTAGATGTTGCTCTATCAGCTAGTGAAGGAATCGGGTCGATTTAAGAGATAGTCGTTGAAAACCAGAGTCCTAAAACTTTACGCCATTTTTGCGTGTTTTTTGACTTTTGAGAGTTAAACTCTTATAAATCTTGAATGTGAAAGTGTGTGATGTTGCGACTTCATAGGTTTTATAGAGTAAGGTTTGCCTTATCAGAATATGTCTTGTCCGTTCCGATCCATTGAAACACCTCCGAGATCCAGGCTCTTGAAAAAGCAGGTAAAAAACAGCTTTTTGAACTTCAACAGCTCGTAACTTCTTCAGAACTGCATGAATCATGTTGCGACTTCATAGGTTAGATTCTTCTCATCAAGAGCTTTCAGATGATATATAATATGTGGGGGTTTAGAGCCTCCTACGAATTATGCCCGGGGGGGGGGAGACTTTTTAGGCCAAAGTCTCCCCCTCGCCCATCCAGCCAATACATTAAAATGGGCGAGGGGGAGACTTTGGCCTGAAAAGTCTCCCCCCCCGGGCATAATTCGTAGGAGGCTCTAAACCCCCACATATCATATATCATCTGAAAGCTCTTGATGAGAAGAATCTAACCTATCAAGTCGCAACATGATTCATGCAGTTCTGAAGAAGTTACGAGCTGTTGAAGTTCAAAAAGCTGTTTTTTACCTGCTTTTTCAAGAGCCTGGATCTCGGAGGTGTTTCAATGGATCGGAACGGACAAGACATATTCTGATAAGGCAAACCTTACTCTATAAAACCTATGAAGTCGCAACATCACACACTTTCACATTCAAGATTTATAAGAGTTTAACTCTCAAAAGTCAAAAAACACGCAAAAATGGCGTAAAGTTTTAGGACTCTGGTTTTCAGCGACTATCTCTTAAATCGACCCGATTCCTTCACTAGCTAATAGAGCAACATTTACTCTTCAAAACCTATGAAGTCGCAACTGCTGACATCTTCAAACAACAGATTTATAACAGTGGAAATTTCGCATGATTTTTCACTTTTCAAATATTCAAAATTCTGGTTCTCGGCCGTTACTGCCTGGATCGACCTACTTCCTTCGCTATACGTTATAACATAATTTGCTTAATAAAATCCGTACAGTTTTGCTAAGCTTTACTTCCAAATACACCATTTACTAAAAACCTTTATTTTAAATATATATGCCGCCGTATACATAAATATATGCTTTCAATAATCTTTTTTGCGTTTGTTTTGCTTATTTTCCTTCTTTGTCGTCCAGCGAAAAATTTTTTATTCCAAAAGTGAAGGTGGTCACCCCGTACCAGCTCAAAAGTGAAGGTAGGGGGAGACTTGGCTCCCCCTATCGCACCTCTGATCTAAATACTCTGTATGATCCAGGGCTCTGCACGAGGTGGCTTTCCGATTGCGCAAAAAACGAAGTCCCCTCTGATCCTCGCAAATTTTACGCATCCCCTTTGACTCAAAATCGGAAACGTCGACTAAAAAAGAACTAAACCTAACTAGTGTTTCTTCAGACCTCAAAACCCCTTTCCTTTTTGTCCCAAAACGATCCAGTTTGCTTACAAGCCACCTATGCCGAGTCCTGGTAGTATGATCTCCCAAGCATAAAAGCACAATACACGTTAGAAAGAATCTCTTCCTTGAGAAAACATTTCAAAATGACGACAAGAATACCAACTAAATCACAAAATTCGTCATTTGTGTATTTTTAGAATCGGATATCTCCTAGCGCATCAAAATATGAACAACATTACAGTGCAGATCGATGTCGCAAAAAGAAATTTCAAATTGTACAAATTCTTCGAGTTTTTTTTTTTTTTACCCCAAACGGAAAGGATGTCACTTTAGCAAGCCAGACGTCATTGACCTTCGAACGTGCAAAGATGATTGCAAAACACTAATTCGATTAGTACGGAAAATTTGCACCTGCGTCATTCCACACATTGAAACTTTCCCGTTTCATCTGGGTGGCAAAAGTCGCAATATTTCTTATGATGACGATAATGGCATCAGGCAGTTCAAAATCTCTAGGTAAAGTAGCACCAACTGCTGAATAACGGAGGTTCTTTGTTCTTTACCGTATGCCTATAGTAACATGGTAAGATTTGAAAAATGTGATACGTAAAAAAGCATTTCAATTAAAAAGAAATACACCTTTTACGGCGGAGAGCAGAGAAAGTTTGGGGGAGGGAAAGGGAACCTTTTGAATGATTTGGTATGGGATCAACACAAAGTCTGAAAATTCTTGTGGAGCATTATAAAAAATGTGATGGCAGCGCTCCGAAAAAAATTTTTACAACTTTACTTTTCCAACTTTGAACGGGTAAAAACAATTCATTTGCACAAATTTATAGGTACCTCGATCGTTTTAAATCCGGCTAACCTCAATTTCCTATGATTATTTTGAGCTCATGGTCACATCCAACCCTTTTGTTCAAGGAAGAAAGAGTAATTTGTGGCCTCCATTTGCAACATACCCCGTCTACCTCATGATTATTGTTGCCATATGCACGAAATTTGATCTTGGCCGCGTTGATGAGGCTGCTTTCGAAAGGAACCTACATAACAATTTGTGGGATCTCAGTTTTGCCGCTCTCAATAACTCCAAACAGCTATAAAATATAATAGTTGTAATGGGTTTGTTTTTTCAACTGACAACTTCCGGAATCCAGTTGATTGCATCAATTGACATGTTGCGAATTTCCCGTCTTATCTGGGTTGCAAGGAATTTTTTATGTGATTGCTCACAGAACATTGGTTGGAACCAAAATTATGGTAAAGCTCACATAGCTATGACTGCTAGCTTAAGGTTCTTACCGTTTGTCTCGCAGTAACCATCATAGAAAATATGAATAAGTCTCATTCGCTTTTGGCAGCTCAGTCGAGAAGAAATACACCTTATCATCTAACTCCAAAAGTAACCTAAGCCTCTAAAAACATTGTGCATTCCTTTTCCTTTGGAGACTAGATTTTGCATGGTCTCGCATTCGCGTAACCTCTGAGTATAAAAAGAATGTTAAAAATGCCCAGAATGATTTTGGTACTGAACAATTTTGTTACCCGCCCCTCATCATTTTTGAAAGGTTCAAAATCGGCAGTCGCTACCAGGTTCACTATAGGTTTCTGGCAGGCCTGGACTTAACAATGACAAATACAAACATACTATAAATTTCGAAAATCGCAGTGATGGATTAATCGGATAAAAGCAATAATGATGACAAAAACTTTTATGGAACGTACAATAATAATGGTAGTAACAGAGATGGTTCAAAATTATAATAAATAGAACTCTTTTATAAACATTATTGATCGCCTCTTGCCTAAGAGTTTTCCTGAAATGAAATTAGCACTACGTTTTTTCAACGAGAATTTTTTGAAGACTACTTTCCAATCTGTAAAATGAAATAAGGCAGCGTTTCAACAATTAAAAAAGCCAACTTTTTTCACTGGGTAGTCCATAACTCTTGCATGAAAAGTTCCGAAGTCATTGGTCTAATTTCTGCATTCTTTACTTCGATGCAGTTATGAGAGGAAATCGTATTCTATAATTATACTCCAAGCAACGACTCTGTTGGTGAGGGAGATACAAGCTAAAGGAACTGTGGAATTATCTCAGCCTTTTGGTAGATAAGAATGTTGGACCCAAGAATCAATTCTATGTTTGATTTAGGTCTTGCGACTTACTCGTTTGAGAAGAATTGATGTTGATAAATGATTCTACGATAATCGTGATTTCCCAGTAGTCGACATCTCGTCGTTCCTTCCTTGT